TTGCGTTCCTTCTTTATGAGATTCTGAATGTGACATTTTCACAAAAAATCCCTGCACTTATTTGTGAAAAATGTATATTAAAACCAAAACACATCAAATGGAAAGAAATCACAGATGGTTTTATTCACAAGCAGTAGAATTAATGGCCTTCCCTACTCTTTATAAATATTGGAAGCAGATGAGTTCATTACTATTTCACTCTAATAAAGAAAACCTGCTTTATTTTGACAAGACATCTACTTATCTAGTGTTTCTACTGAATAATAAATCTATTTTCTTTGAAAAATAAAAGAAAGGTTATCAATAAACAAAAAACTGCCTGGAAAATTTGTCAATCAAAAAACCCCCAAATATCTTCATTTCTGATAGTGCAGAAATGGAATTCAAGGGATTTTGAAAATGTCACTAATTTTCAGAATAGAAAGTTTTGAAATGTTTACTTTGTGGTTGTCTTAAATTTTTACATCTTTCAACAAAGCAAGCAGAAAAGTGAAAACATCTGAAAAGGCTTTTGAAAATAAAAGAGTCAGCACAAGCTGGATAAAGCTGTGGGCTCCTTTATCTTTGAGAAATCTGCACACATGGAGCGGAGTTTAGGACTTTTTTTTTTTTTTTTAACTATGCATTCAAACACTTCCCAGTTCACAGTCCAGGCTATGTCGAGTTTGCCAGACCTTCAAAGTACTGTTGGCAGCCTTTCCTGCGCTGGGATAAAACATCTTACCCTAGGGAAGCAAAAGCTGAGTCATTTTTAACCCCAAACAACATTCACTGATGTGGTCATCTTGTTAGTCATGGAAATCCTGTGTTATTTCTATTTATGCTTCTTTCAACACTTATTAACCAAGAAGTGAGGAGGTTTTATTTTAAACTGCAGAAGATGTTTATCCTCTCCAGGGCCATGACAATCAGTTACATGGCTTATCCATCATTTCAGAGAAAGGAAAAGATTTTGAGAAACTCCCAAGACAAGTTAATTTTTAAAGCTGTAGGAGGGAGAGGAGAAAAGAAAACAAACACCACCACCAAAGCCACAAGCACACAAAGCCTCACACAACTGTCTAACGCTGCAGGGACCACGGCTGGCTCCTTCCAGCCCCTGCGCCTGCTGCTTCCCCCTTTGACAAAAGGAGGATCTCCTTGGGGCAGGAATGGCCAGGAGACACCTTCCCGGAGACAAGCAGGCGCTGCCGGTGACAGGAGCACTAAGCAGAGGAGAAGGCTGCCGTGAAAGTTCCAATTAATTTATCGAGTTTCCTTAGAAAAAAAATTCTGTAAATGATGGACAACGTAAACCTGCTCCGGTCTCACGCTACGCACCCGCCCAGGCAGGTCGGGTCCCTGCAGCCCTGCAGACACCCAGGGCCTTTGGTGCAACGCGGAGGGGCCGTACTGAGCACACAACGCCAAGCGCCTGGACAAGCCGATGGTCCGGGGGGTGGGTGCCGTCAACCGCCCAGGCCTCTGCACCACGGCACAGGCACCGGCTGAGACCCTGCGCAGGGCTCGTGGCGATGGCTGCTCTCGGCACCAGCTGAGCTCTCCGCCTGGCATCAAAAAACCCTTTGCAGACAAATTTAAATTTAGTTTGTCCAACAAGCGGGCATTGCTGTTGCTCCTAATGGTGGAGACCCCCTTCCAGCACATCACCACCAGTAACAGCAACTCTTTAGGCTATGGCTTTTTCAGAAGAAACATTGCAGAAATGGCAGAGAGATTGGTGAAGAATTTTTTTTTTTTTTAACATTCAATAATTACCCCAAAATTCTGAGCAGCTGAATTAGGAAAAGCAAAAATGAAAGGCTGAGCAGAAATACTGGGATTTTGGTACAGTCGGGAGTATTTCAACAGCAGAGCAATCCCAGAGGTCTCACGGAGGGAGGAGTGCCGTTCACCAGCAGTGGGAGGAAGGGCAGCTCGTGCTGTACTAGAGCGGTCCTGGGTCCAACCACAAACAAAAACAAGGGTTGGGGGATGAGGGTCCTCCCTGGCAGGCGTGCCTGGAAGCTTGGCCGTAATTCCAGGCAGCGGATGCGCAGCCCCACGCAGCTTCCCATGCCGCAGAACAGAGCCCACATCCAGTGGCAACAGCTAATTAGGCAGAAGTGGCTCTGATGTTCGCAGGCATCACCCGCTCAGCGATGGCTCTGAGGCAGCTCACATGCCTGCCCGCCGCATGCCGACACGGGAAGACGTGAGCCAGCGTGCAGGACGGGCCCACTCTGGTTTATGTCCCCCCCGCGCCGCCTCCTCTCTGGCCAGGATATTCAATCAGGTGACGGTGACGGCTCCCACAGCAGCTCCAAGATGCAGTTTCTTAGTTTTTGGTGGAACAAGTGGTACTCACTTTCAAAAGGAGGTTATAAAAACATGTGCCTGAAGAGAATGTCGGGAACTTGGGTATTAATCTCCTTTAATTCAAAGACCACTCAAAATAAGCGAGACAGAAATATTGGCTGGGGTGAGAGAAGATGCCAGAGGTCGTACTGTGCACCACCAGCTTGGGTCAAGTTCAGAATAATAATTTAGCACGAAGAATAACAATTTTCAGTTTTAGTGGTGTGGTATTAGCCTCTCCCTAGTTGAGAAGTCCATTTCCCCCGCAGGGAGGGGCTCACTGCCGCCAGCCTTGCAGGTACCTGCCTGCCTGCAGCGACGCTGGCCCGGCAGCCACTGCAGCCGAGACCCCTGCGGCCGTGTGCCCGAGCCTGACGGGAAGGGTTCTGCCCCAAGCCGAGTGCTGCCCTCGCTGCTGCCGGCATGGTCCTTGCACCAGGTATTTCTTTTACCAGGTTTCGCTCCGTCCTGCCCAGTAATGAGGTGTCTTCCTACTGCTGGGAGGCGGCCAAAGGGACTTCACCTTCCAGCACCGCACAGACACCAGGCGCCGTCTACCCATCGCTCGAGCTGAGGCCCGTCCTGGCAGCATCCCTGCGGTACCCTGAGAGTGCTCAGTGCTCGGCCGAGCGCGAGCAAAGCAGGGCCACACAGGACAGACCATCAGTCATAAAAGCACGGCACCTCCCCTGCAACTCGCACTTCCACCCTTAACTGCCTCTCTTAAAACACAGCTGTATTTCAGAGTTGATTATAAAACTCTGTTTATTTCTGCAGAATCCCAGTTTATAATATTTGTAAAAAAATGAGACCGTGGAGCCCTGAGCTGGGCAGGGCCGCTCAGCCTGCAGAAACGCTCCCACGTGGCCCACGTGCAGCCTCCTTCCCCGATGCATCAGCTCCGAGCCAAAACGCTGCACCAGAGAGTGGCTGCTGGGGTGGCCTCCAGGTGAGAAAGCCCCGTCAAGTGAGAAAGCCCCGTCCGAAAGCCCCTGCCTGCTGCCAGGTCACTGTGCAGCGGAGCAGGCAGTGGCCGGGGACCTGGGGGGCCAGGGGGCTGTGGTGAGGCACGCTGCTGTCACCTGCTGCATGTGGCTGCAGCAGTCCGTTGCTGCTCTGGCTGCAATGCCAGGAGCTCCCGGCGAGAGCCATCACCACCCCAAGCTGCGGCAGCACCGGCACCCCTGGCACGGGGAAGCACGTCTGTACAGAAAGGCTGGGGGAAGAACCAGCGATGCGCAAGTGCACACACATTAAAAACAATTAATTCAAAGTAAGCCTATGCTGACAAGTCAAGCCTGCGCTGGCGTTTCCAAGCTTTGAGGCCGACTCTGTGACTTTAACTTGACCTCCTCATAATTACACACAATGCAAATCTTGCAGTTGATAATTATGACTGACTAAAGTTCTTAATCTTTATAGAGGATAAACAAGTTGTTCCACTGACGTTGCCGTCATTTACTGTAGTGACACACTTACTGCCACTTATATTTGGGACACGGCCTGTGTGGCAGTGTAGATGTCACGTGTGGTCCCTTATGCTCCAGAAAATGCTCAAGTTGAGCTATTTTGAGTTCTGTGTTTTGACTTTGCAGCATACATTTTGAGAGAGACATTTTGGACAGGTTTTCCAAGGCTTTTTATATCTAATTTCCATGGATAAAACCCCACAAACAGAAGCAAATTACCTACAAGGGGGATCATGCTGTCACCTCTGAAGCTGACCCTTCAGATCCATGAACAGACTGTAGCTGTTCCGGTCAGCCAAGAGAGCGGCCAACGCTGCAGGCAATCACCGCTATTCACCAGCTCCTCCTCGGAGGCTTCGCAGCCCCTGGTCCAACTCTAACGATACCTCTGCTCCCATTTCTTTATTCCTCCTGTTCCTGAAATCAGGTCCCATCTTTTGCAGTGTCCTTCACCTTCCTGGGCAGCTTGAGAGCAGAGGCAAAGGCATCTCTGGTCTCGGCCCTCACGTCCCACCAAAACTGCTCAAAAAGTCCCCATCAGCCCCAAGCAGAAGCAAAAGGCAGTCTGCTCAGCTGTGGCAGAGGAAAAAGCACCTTGTAAGTGAGTCTCTCAGATGAAAGCCTGCAATCCCTGCTCTTTACTGAGAATCGCTAGTCCAAGGACTGACATGCGTGATGTTTTGATATTTTCTTCCAAAAGTGGATAGGAGATGGGAAGGGAGGAACACTCATCTCTGCAGGACACCACTGGAAACATCCACCGGGCGACAAACCCAGCTTTGTACCCTCCCGGTGTGCAAGGCTGACCCCGCACCATGTCATTCCTTAACGAACGTCCATCAGGGCACAAAGCCCAATGCCTGCTGGAGTCCAAGCCCACTGAAAGAAGCATTACCTGTACCAAGCAAACCTGTGATCACATCAAGAGACAGGAGCGGTTCCAGGTGCCACAGCTACAACTGCTACATGGCGGCTCAGTTCAGAATGAGCACTGACTCATGTTTCATTCCTTGTGATGTTTTTAACTACTTTCAAAACATCCAGGTTTGGGATCTGAAGAAGTCAATGCAACGATGATGCAGAGGGAAAAGAGCGGCTGGTCCCAAGGGATGCCCCTTTCCACTCTTGCAAGTCAGAGCTGCGGCGTTTTAAGCTTCTTAAACTCCCAATTTAAAACACAAAGCACAGAGAATAAACTGATTAAAACAAGTTTTATTTAACAAATTATATTAAGAATACAGACTAAGTTATCACACAATGAAACTTCCCTTTGTAAAATACAGGAGGGTCATCTAAAATAAATATAAAACATAGTAACATTCATAAGATTAATGCACAGTAAATTCACTTTCAATAACCCAACAAAATGCATAGCATCTTAGAAAACACTTTGCAACTGCATAAAAGGTTTCTCTCTTCCATTTGCACGCTGACATTTAAAACTGTTGCTGTTAGGAAACAATTTCACAATAAACGACCAGAATATCCAAACTGTTTGGTTTCCCTGTGTTGAATAAATTGAGCAGCACCTTACTGAGCTTCTTCATGAGCAGAGGAGCACCCTCCCTACTGCAATGCTGTCAGAGTTTTATGGCTCAGGATAACTAACACCGACACTGCTCGGCTGCCCCGCTGCTGGGAAAGATTCCCGTCTGTTTGTCAAGGCTCGAAGGCTGAGGTAATTATTTGAATGCAGCGAGACACGCATGCCCTTCAGGAGGAGTGAGAACGGCTCGCTGGTGAGCTGCTCTGCCAGCACCCACGGGACGCGCCCGCTGCCACCCCGGCCAGGGAGCAGCAGTCACTGGCTGCTCCGGGGGCTGCTTTGGGAGAGCGGCTGGAGGGAAGACCTGGGGAGACAGACCCCGTGTCGCCCGAGGGCAGTGGGGAGAGGAAGGCCAGCGTGGGACCGGCCAGCTCCAAAGGTGCTGCATCCCATTTTCCCTCCCCTAAGAGATTTTTAGGGCCCCACTGAAGAAGAGGTGCCCAGACCTGCGGACGCGTGCCCTCGCCACCAGCGTCCACCTGGCACGTGTCATGCCCACATCGGGATTTTCTCCAGGCTCTGCGGTGTGTGGGTTCAGTCTGAAGAGCTCAGGAAACCAGTGGGGGCAGGGGCAGGTGTGAAACCAAACAAGCCCAAAGCTACAGACTACCAACAACCTCTTACTATACAAGAGGCTCATGGGGGACCCTCTCCTACAAACACCACGGGCAAACTCAGTGAGTCAAAGGAAAAAAGTTTGACGAAGTTTATTCCTATGTAACTACAGCTACGAGATGCTCCCACAGGGAAGACACCTGCTACAACTGTCCACACTTGAATTTTATCACAAAGTTCACACTCTACATTACTTTCTGGACTAATTTCTTGCCTTTCCATTGTTAATACATTAGACAGCACAGCCTGGCTTGGATGGCCCACGAGTCATCTCAGCACGCTACCTGCTCTTTGCCGTGAGAAATCCAGGAGGCAGCGTGTCACTATTAATTCACATCAGAAGGTGTATTTTACAGTAAGCAAACCCCTCACTGCTGCTTTTCTGTCTCTGTTGCAGACATACGATAATTTGGCAAACTAATTTCTCCATCAGCCACAAGATTAAGCTACCTAGAGGCTAGTCTTGTTCTAGAAATAGAGGCAAGGTAGCCAAGCATATCTGGTAAAGCTCTGCAAATCCAATTCTGTTGCTTTCCATTGACTCATCCCCTCCTCTTATGCTCCAGAAGGCTTCTCCACAGCCAGACAACATCAACAGCAGGCTCCCTGAACATTTATTGCCTGGGCCAATGCTACCACAGTCGCCTTTTGGACAGGGAGGGAGTAAGATGCAGAGAGATGCTGGTACTGGCTATGGCACATGCCAACAGGGAGGACTTGCTGCAAGGATGCAAGGACCAGCCTTGCAATGAGTTGCTGTGAGTACAAAAGTTATGGAACAGCAAATAAAACCTACCTGTGGAAATGCTGACCTGATGCCCAAGATCTTGGGAATTCAGAGGTGCAATAAAAAAGCTTCCTATAATCAGTGGACGACACATACAGTCAACCACAGTGTGTCTCGCTGTGCTTCCAAGCGCTGGCTCTGAGCCCTCTCCCCTTTGGAAATGCCCAGTTTTCCAGCCTTCGGTTAGCAGGTCTGAGAGCTCAGCTGGCTCTCAGCAGCTGTAGCTCTTTGCTCAAAACACCTCTATTGCATTTGTACCACAAGAACTGCATTTGCACTATTCGTGCTTTCAGCACAGGGTATCCTTGCAGTGCCACAGTGCAGAAACACACCGTGAAGATCAAACTAATCTCTCAAGTTTCTTTGCAGATGCACCCCTGAAGCAGCTTTGCTAGCCAAGTGTAAGAGAGGGAAGAGTGAGAACCAACTATACAAATATATCCCGAAGATTTCTTAGAGGCTTGTCCCAGCTGCATGTCCTGTCAGCGTTTTGAGCTATCCAGTGTTTCCTGTAGGTTACTGAAGAGAAAGCTGAGCTCACTACCTCTAAGAAGGCTGAGCAATCATAACTGTTGCTATAAATATTAAAGCACCAATTTTATCTACTGATGCTCTCTAAGCTAAATCTCACAGGAAGGGACTCGAAGCTACGCGCCCATTTTTCTGAGACATACCCAGGGAGTGCCTCACTGAATGTGGGGCTCGGCAGCTATCCGAACCCTCTCCTCAAATGAGCACTTCAGCTGCTGCGCAGTCAGCCCTGCCCTCGGCACGGGAAGACGTGGATTGACAAGGAGGAGCTCCTGGCAGTCGTCTCCCCATCTCCTGGCGGCAGGAACTGCCCCTGGAGCTCTGCCCTGCACCAGCCTGCAGCCCTCACTCCTCCACCACCAGTAACAGGGAACGTCAGCTCTGCAGCTCCTTCATCCCAAAGCCATGAGGAACGCACCGCTGTGGACAGCCTCTACCTACCTGCAGTGTCCACTAAGCCACAGGAGAAGCTATAAACAGATGCCACAGAAAACCACAGAACAAATTACAGGCAGAAAATAGAAAGACAAAAGATGGATGAGATGGGCATAGTACTACAGCATGGAGTGGATTTGAACTTCAAGTGAACCTGAGCCGAATGACCAGGCTGCCATGGTATGTTCATTTGTCGATGTCGGCATCATCAATCTAGCCTTTGTGAAGCTTGGCAGTGAGGTCTGGCTTTGCTTTCCTGCAGGATAAATAAGAACTAAAAATGGTGCTGCAACCTCCAAATGAACGAGCACTTCCAGGGGGTCACCCAAACCTCCAGAGCTGGTGCAAATGGCATAGCTTTAATTCTTTTGCCCAAATATGACACACCTGCAACCAAATTGGCCTCTGCTTTCCAATTGCACAGCCTTGCTTTAGAGAGGCAGTTTTAGAAAACGATTTACCTGATTGGAAGACATTGAAGCAAAGACTTGGAATCACTCTGTCCCGAATGTTACGGTATTTTGTGCTCATCATCCCAGCAATACGGTATGGTGCCTTAAAACCAGAAATGAATCTTTGGACGAGAAATATTTTACATATGTACAAATAAAAAATACAAGCTGACAGTACAAAACCTACTGTTAGTCACCATTCTGTCCAACTAGAAAATGCAAGATCAATCAAAAGCAGTGCAAAGCAGGTCAGGGCATACGTATGACCCAGACTGAGAGCGACAATACTGTTATTTGTTACTATGGCAATTGCATTTCAATAGGGTTAGGTAATCAGTATTTTACAATATAAAAAGTTGTACGTTTTAACACTTACTTAAAAATTGCCATTTTGCTGCCATGATGTAGCTTTGTTCTACAGCAGAGACTTGAAAAAGCAGCACGGAGTCAGATGGGCACTTCTAAATAACTTATTACAGCAACAGACTTCTCCAAGACATGCATTTGACTCGGGAGCGAGCTAAGGTCAGTGATCGCAAGAAGGCTGAGGTCAGGGTTTAATGCATCCCACTCTCATCCTGCACTACGTCAGAGTTCAGTGCTTCCCCGTGAGTGCACAAGGGAACAGGCACACCTCTTTTGTTTTAGCAGCTAGCGGGGCAAATATTAGAAAACTCTCCAAAGTGATGGGCAGGTGACAGCATCCACGTTGTCAGCAGGGCCCCAGCTCTGCAGGCAGCTTGGCCAGGGGTCAGCGGGGCACAGCCGTGATTGGCCTGGGCCACTGCCAGCATCGAGCCCAGAAAGAAATACAGGACCTTTGTCACTCTAGGTCCTGACGGTCACACAGACACCCTGTGCAAAGTGGAGGTGCTTCACCTCGGGAACTGCAGTGCAGCTTGTGCTCTCTGTGCCCCTCCGCCTTGCCAGTGCCTGGGGAGAGAGCCCAAGGCAGGTCTGAGCAAGTGACCCCGGCCCCCCCAGCCTACAGCAAAAACAAGTGATCACAG